TTATCTAAATCTTGCCAATCTTGACTAATTCGCGTCGTTAGAAATGTCTATGCGAACATGAAGTGTTCTTTACAAATACGAAATTATACATTTGTATACGCTCGATCAGCGATCATTTCTTTCCTTACGAAGAAAGTGCAGCTATCGGTGGCAACGCTGGTACCAGCTTTATAAAGTCAAGGTTTGCGCCTTAAATTTCAGTTATGCAAGACACATACACGCGTGCACGCGTAAACACCATCTACGGACACCTGAGTTACATCAACGTGCACCATTCAGCGCACTGTGTCCATCTCTCAACTTGTTAATTAAACTTACTCGTACAGTTTCGAAGATTTCAGACTAATTTCAAATGAATTCGAATAAATTTATCGTTCCTTTGATTATTTATTATCATCGACGATGTGTTACAAGATGAATATTCATTGGGCAGCAAGTGCATTTTAGCTTTTTACTATTTTAAATAAAATCCGCAAATGACGCGAACATTGACGATTTTAAATAAAAGATGATATAAATTTATAGTTAAAATTGACTACATCATTTTACAGAGGTACTTATTACGTGTGAATTAAAATAAAATATAAATCGTGTGGTAAATTTTTACGGCAAGACTATATTGTTTTTAATTTGTATACTTTCATTATTTAAAGTTTACCGTATTTGTAATACTTTCTGAAGAGGACCAGAGAGTAAAATTGAAGCGTCGATTCATGATCACAGCTAAATTTTAACTACTCTGTGCGGTTCAATAACTATTCACCTTGTAACGCATTCCAAAGTAATCTTCAAACTTTGATGTCCCGTGACCATAGCTGGAAAGCTATCAATAATAAACTTGAGGACCTCGTACGGGTTATTTGACCATATTTAAATAGAGTATCCCCTCGTAACTTGTTCGCGAGGAAACTTGTACAAAACTATTATTCAATATACAGAGAAGTTGCGATAATTATTTTCCAAATAGATAGTTTTCCAAATAATTTGTCTAAAGATCATTTCTGTAATTATAATTACTTGTATTGCAAAGAAATTTTCTAAACCGTTTAAATCAGTCCGATCTACGAAACACGTACGATTAATTAATGAACAAACCTATCATTCTAGAGTTCCTGGAAGAGGATACATAAAATTCCGAATTCCGGGAATTCTATCGTTTTTAATTTCACCAAGGTCCTCGAACGGCGCCTTCGCAGCGTCTCCGAGAAATCATGCGCGACGATCAAAGACACGGTTCGATGCCATTTTTGGTACTAACAACGTCACTTCCTTGACCGAGAGGAATGTCCAAGGAGCAGAAACCGCGGCTTTGTCGGCTATTCATTAATAATTAATCTTATTATTTATTTATCGCTTCTTCAATGCCGTACTGAAGTTTTTCTAAGGGTTTCCATCGATAGAGACGACCGAGTCGCCAAGGTAATATCTCAATCGGCGTTTAATTGACGAGTAATTGACAGATCTCTTGGCGACCCTTTGTAACTTTGTTTGTTTATACGTTTGCGATACGACATTTCTCACGATCCTGTAACCATTTCGAGGGCAAGTCGCTCTCGAGCGTGAGACGCTCCGAAGCACCTATGCGTAAAAGGCTCCAACGTGGATCACGTTTGCGCCAAAGAATGCGTTCCTGTTTACCAGGTGAGGTCTAATTCGATCGAAGGTCGGATGTATCCTTCGCGGCCTTCCCCAATCGCGTACTCACGAAACACGATGAATCGAACACGGTGAATTACTTGCGAATCCTTAACAGGATGATTCATCGTTGCCTCGTTTCACCTGTGAAACGCCTGTCTCAGTGCTTCTCAAGCTTCATTTCCTTGGGTCTAAATTTGGTTCTTAAAAAAAAAAAAAAAAAAAAGCACAAACACACTTCACGCGTGTCAAGTTAGTTAGTATTCAATGCATCTATTCGAATTAAAGAACTACGATGCATAAATGAATTTTAATAATAACAGCGACAAATTTTCTTATCGTCATATTTTTCGACATTTATTATTTTAAGAAATTAACTACTTTATATTTGAAAGTAATTCCCAAGTTTACGCAGATCACAATGTACGAATACCAAAATTGGATGAATTGAAATTTAACGACTTCGATGGTGGTACTTTCGAACGTTTCTTCTATTTTTGCGTAATAAGAATAAAATTCTGTAAAAGTATTTTTCGATATCAATATGAAATTGCTCCTGGAGTTTACTAACCAGAGTTTGAGAAACACTGGTTTATTCATGAAAGTCAGGAAAGGCCACGTTGTGGGTCGAATTGTGAATTTTATTCACCCAGCAAAAGGAGAACCTTGAGGTATTCTAGATGCTTTTATTGTCACTGATGATTATTTAGTTAATAACACAAAATAGGATAACGGTGGAGTCTATTATAATCAGAAGAAAACAAGGCGAAGAAAAGTAAAACGAAAGTACGACAAAAATCAAGAGTAAGGACTGTTTATGTGTTGACTTCAACGAAAACCTTATTTATTATATTGTTTATATAATAAACAACGATTACTACCGATGCTCAGATAAATCTCTATCAGAAAAATTATTTGGATGATTTCAGAATAAAATTCATATGTTTGTCGACAATTCTGGCTAACTGTCGTACATAAGAAAATGTACAAAAAAATCTCTACTCTTTTGAGAAAACATAAATAGAAGTGAACAATGAGAATAGCTTCCTGCGATTACGTAAATGAAAAGCGTGAAGTTGCGCGCCAGCCAAACGCCTCAAAGGATTCGCTATTGCGGGTGAACACTGAATAATTTCGGTTTTCAATCGCTGTTGTCATTCCTAATCGTTTCAAAAGCCTTGCATAGTTAACGAGCTTTGGCAATATTAAATTAGCGCCGAACAGACGTTTCACCTCAGCATTTATCAACGATACTGTGCCCTGTCACTTCGTGCTTGTGCTTGGTATGGACTGATCATGATTAATTGCCACGCGAAGAAGAGTAAGGTTGCTTAATTAAATTCGATAACAGTCAAGTTTCGATCTGTAATAATTTCAGAGATATTGGGTCGCGAACTTCGGATCTTAAGGCAAAAATTTTCCAAATGCGAGGTACTATCCAAGCGTAATCAAAATCAGTTCTATTTTCTCTTAGAATGTTCGTACATGGGTGTACATTGGAATATAGAATGTCCTTTTAAAGAGAGAATCCTTTTGCATCTAACGTTTGACGGTGTTCGATCAATACAAAGCAAAAAAAAAATGCGCTGAAAAGAAACAGAAATGAACGATCTCAATTAAATTGCTGTAGAATAAAAATAGGATAGTATGAAAGATACTGATCAGCAAATTGTCCTTTCCGGAATGAAAATATATTGAATATTTATTTATATTCTGTTTTATTCGTTTTGTGTGCACAAAGTGTGCATACGGGAGTTTCATAAAGTTTAACGAAGTGCACAAATATGTGCACACGGTAAGCAATGTATTAAATAGAAGAGAACCAGGGGTAGTGAAAAGAGAAGACATCAAAGGCGTATGACAAATTGTTTACATGGTATCCGTTTCAATTCACGGGCAAAAGTTGTCTGTTATTGAAATCTCTTTCAATCCACGGACAAAGCTAGTTTAATTCGTATTGAAACTCCTTTCAATACAGGCCAAAACCTTTGAAATAATTCAGAATGGAACTTCTCGTTATAAACTTTATTACATTCTTTTTTTGTACCAAACGTTTATCCGAGATAACCTGAAATCAATAGTTCGAATCTTTCAATATTTATCGAACATTGCCATTGCATCCGAACGATTACAGAATGAAGAGGAAAAAGTAAATATACTAGGAGAGACTCCGACCGAAGCAAACGTTGCAAACACCGAAAGCACCAATTCGATCGAAAAATCCTTTTTATTGTAAATACACTGTTTCTTTCGCCGGCCATTGAACGATTCGTTGACAAAGCGGAGCAAAACAGAAAGGAAAAACAATTCCAGTGCGTCTTCTATGACTTCAACAAATCGCTTCCCTTACGCAGGGTATTCAGTGCGTAGAAATAAAAATAAGAAGCTCGAAAAGAGATCGGGCGAATAAGGAGATTAGAAATCAAGCGACATATTGCTTTTTATATGTTCCGTAATAAATTGTTGAGCAGCGAAAGCATAATACACGATTCTTTGAATCAATCAACGTTTCGACTACATAATTGCGTGACTTTCTTTTGAAAATAACGCTTCAATTGATTCACAATGACAGTACAGACTGGAATTAAATTACATCTTACATTAATTCCATCATAATTAATGTACATCTTCCAGAAGTAAGATGTTATTTAAATTACAATCATTAATTCTCGTTTTAATATCACTAAGAAAAGTACTGCTATTTGTTACTGCAAGTTAATTTTCATAAAACTTTACCGAAACTTTTATTCCAGCTTGAACAAATAACAGTTCTCCGTCTGTTTGACATGCATAGAATAAAAAAGCTGCAGTAAATACACTTCACTTTACGAACCACTCTTGTTTTTAAAATCCCTCTGGGAGAACATTCTACCAAACGTTACACAGTTATTTCATACAAACTCGCGATAAATACTTATCGCTATCCAAATCCAGCGTGGAAATCGTCGCGTACGAATAGGTTATTCAAAATGATGTTACATATCTTTAGATATTTTTCTGTAATGGTCGTTCTGGTAACGAAATGGGAAAGATCGGACGGGAACGATGGTCGATGGGATCGATCTGTTGCTTCTCGATCGTCGTTCGAACAGAAGGATCCTCCGAATCCGAGACGGGCAAGGATCACGACACCGAACGGAGGTGGCCAAGTGGGGGAGAGAGCACACGAGAATTATCCCTGAAGAGTCGAAACGGAGAAGAATGGGGAAAAGAGAGGACACCAAAGGAGGATGGGCACCAAGTTAGTCGGTTGGTCTGGTTGCCGACCCCCACCCTGTATATAAGCCTTCTTCTGCCAGCAACGTCTTCAGTCTTACAGTTCGAACGGCACACTGCGTGTACAATCCGAAGATCATCTGCCGAAACTGAGATCGTCGGGACGATGTCTTCTTGCTAGCGGAAGCAACGCGCCAGGATGCTCGGCCGTGTGCGCGCCGCTTTCATCAGCCTGGTACGTGCCCCATATACATCCTCCAAACCGGTCAGGATTACGCTTCGAGTGCGACAGGTTCATTCGTACGTGACGATCGAGTGCGTTTATCGCGGTTAGGCACGTGTGAGACGTGCAAACACGGGGTGGTGTTAGAGATTTTGGGGCTGGTTCTACGGGACAGAGTCAGACGGAAATCAACAATGATAAAATTGCTTTTCGCTTTTTCGCCTGTAAGGAAGGTACTGTTAACACGTGTGTGTACTATAATCTCGAGCCGAAGAAAGGTTTGAGCTTCTATTCCAAATTGTCTAGGGTTTCTTGTCATTTCTGAGATGCTATCATTAGGACTTTAGACACTTAACAAGAAAGTGAGATATACGCCTATTTTGTTTAGGGCGGCGATATTAAATGAACATAAACTTGATCCCTACAAAATAACGATCACCCGTTGTATTTTATTGTTCATATTTATATATTCGTAGTTTGTCGATATTTTTTAGAAACGTTTTAAACGAATCTTAAAGAGAATTAAATTTTAGATGAAAAAATTAAATACACTTATTATTATTCTTTATCTTATTTATCGAACAGAAAATTTAGTTGTATCTTAGTTTCAAAAAATTAAGAAATTGTAGACAAATCCTCAAACACAATTTCGTCGTTCATGATTTGTCATTTCATACTGGTCTGTAAGTAATCCCGTAAAATATTAGCTATCGATAGGTAAATACCCTGTGTACAAACGTGGGTAACTGCGATTACATTAATTCAAAGACAGCAAAATAAATGAAATATTTGATCCTCATTATCACAAATTATAAGAAAAATCGATGGCTGAATGCTCGCGCATCGTGTTTCGAGCGTAGAGTTTCAATATTTCCGAGCGAACATGATTAATTGGCCAATCGACATGGTTTAACTTCAGCGCCACTGTTTAGTCATTGAAAACTCATCCGTGTAATGCGAACCAAATAATTAGATTTCCGTAATGCGATGCGCGCCAGCTTTACTACCAATTGAAATGCAATTTGATATTTGTACAATTTATAAATTAAAAAGGTTCCACGTCTAAAATTTCAACATTTCGTTTTTCCAAAATCTATCGAATTGTTGTCGATATACGTGTTATGTCGTTTCTGTTACCTCGTCTATTACGTACGTTTCTTGATTCCGAAAATAGGGAAAAGAGACATTCGAGTATCGATTTTAATCCACGCACGTAAGCCTCGTTGGCGGCAAACTTTCAGTTACATCTGTTTCCAAACTTTCCGCTATAAAATTCTACGCAGTTCGCACGATAGCAAACGAAAAATATACTTGCAATTAAAAGAGAATTCCGAACGCAGCAAATTAGCAAACAGCAATATCTGATTGGGAAGTGAAATCACTAGAAGGTCAGTTTATATTGGAACTTTTTCCTCTGTATTATTTTGAAAATGGCTCAACTTGAAACGAAATACCGAAGGAATTTGTTATGAAGAACTTTCTTCGTTAAATGCAGAATTTTCCCCTTCCGTCTCTGTCCGTGTTAATAAGACTTTTATTTTAATTATTCTAAAGAAGTACAAGTTAGCAAGGGAAAAAGGACTTTAAGATTTCACTTTTTAATAATAAAACAAACCTCTCAGCATAGTTTTAACGAATACTTGTTATCTTCCATATTTAATTGTAATCATGTATACTTTCGTTTAAGATTTCAATTTAGATAAATTGTCTATTTTGAAAAGTTCTTTACTATGGAATGAATCGATACCGATATGACACTGTTTCGTCTGGAAAAGGAACATCAGCAGTTCCTCGTCCTACTCAACTCTGTTCAGTAACGCAGATGATAACATCGATTGCCATCTACAAGAATCAATACTGACTTATCAAATTCACGGACGGTATTCTTTTTAAATAAATATTGATTGGTTAAACGTACACATGGTGCCCGTTGGCGATATTCTGCCGGTAGCTACAACATAAATATAGCGATGATAGGCGGTTACACCTGCGCGATCCGTGGGATGAAAGCGGGATTCACTCCACGTCGCGACGAAATTCCAGCGAATTGCGAAACAGTGACATACGTCGATTCGACTGCAAATAGAAAATCGCAACAATCGGAACGAGAGTCATCGACACGTGATCCCGCAAACCATTTCGCACAGAATGTCGATTTTAACATTTGTTACTTTCAAGATGAATTCGCAACTGGGGAAAACCCAATTTCATTTCCTACGTGCCATTCCAAACTGCCGAAACGTTCATTCAGTTTCACATACTATTCGGAAACGATACTTCGTCATTCCTGGTTTCGTTATTAGGCTGCGGACGTTTATGTATGTATTTGTGACAAATGGAAATTTGGGGAAATCTACAAGAATGCACAAACGTAAGGATATTTGTAAGGTACTTTTGTCCAATTTCCAATTCTTTTTCTGTAACTGTGAAAACATGAATTAGCATAAACATCCGTAGTTTATTCATTACATGCGATTTCTTGCGAATGATGATATTTTTGGTCGCCACATTGAGACATTAATTTAAAGCCAAACACTGTAAAAAAAAAAAAAGCCAGAGAAAAGCTAATTGAATATAATATATTATTAGTAGATGAGTAGCTAAAATCCAGGTCGTTACCAGGTCACCAAGTTATTCGTTTAACTATATGTTGTACTACTCGAGTTTTATACAAGATACGGCACGTTCACTCTGCTTCGTCTTTGAATATCTTAAGTAATTGTAGTACACTGTCGTAGTGTGTCGAAGAGAAATTTAAAAAATAGCTCCTCGTTATTTATCGATGGATGAGATCCTCTGTTTCTACAAGATGTCTGGAGAAATCACACAGCAAGCAATTTCGAATTTGGCGTGGGAGATTCTTTCCCACCCATCATACATTTACGATTATTATCTTTTACAAGATCTCGACAATTTTTGTGGTTCAATATTTTTTTTTTACAGAAACAGAATTCCTGGTGTAAATAAACCTTGAAAAATTATTATTGAAATCACTGGAGACTATATTGACGATCATTGAACACTTCTAAGGAATTGTCAGAGTTATCGATAACTCTAGTATCGTCTCTAGGTGTGATTACTATGTACATAGTTCCTTCGTGCTTGAGTTCAATGCGAGAATCGACCTCTGTTCCCCACGCTATACTCCATTCAATCAGTACGTGTATGTTCAATCGTGACTCGGATTCTGCATGTTACACAATTAAACGGGTTCGTCCTTTCGATGAGATGATGACGCGCTATTTTCACGAGTCACGCTAACGCCGTTGCTTCGTTACTAAAAGAAACGCATTCCATCGATCATTGAAATACTGACATATCTAACGAAAGAGTTAACAAGTACATAAGATTACTTTGAAATAACCACGAACGAAAATTTGCATACGCAGGAACTGCGCCTAATAATTTTCACCATTTAAACGATCTATACAATGCTTGTTCACTTATTGAAAATGATCGATATCGCGCGTACTAAGCTTCATTCGAATTTACGACCAAAGTCTCGTGGCTTCCTCTTGCGAGCATTTTCAATTAGCAATCGCGGTCAAGTCATCGGGCATTCCGTTTGTTACGTTGAAGTATGGATTTCCCGTATTGTCGTATTTGAAATGCACCGTACGTTGAACACGTCAACCGAAGCGAACGATGATTACATCGACGTAATCTAATAGCCGTTGTATCGCGTTGGCCGACGCTCGTGAGCGAGAGTTTCATTGATCTTGGCATTCGAACAGAATGTCGTTGCACTACATTTCATTCATAACTCTCAATGCCACGCCGCGAAGCTATTATGTTTAAGATGCGATCCGTGGCTGTTCGAGCGTGACGCGATGCATTGAAGCGTTGATCGGTTGCGAATCGTCGATATAACACAAACAACACGGAATCTATCGGGACATTATTGTTACCGGAATCATAAAATAAATCGTTCGTCGATAACACTACCACGGGAATGTCATGACGAAACTGCCGTGAGGACTAGGGATACCATGCTGGTATTACAGGAATAGAGTTCTATTTACTTCGTTTTTTTAGTGATTTGCATGAATTTCTTTTAGCAAGAAACGAATGTATATAATTGAATGGAACTTCGAGAACATTGTATAGATATATTCAAGTAGATATTGTAATTTTTTGAAAGAATTTTCTCGAAAAATATGGAATACATTAGCTGTCATCCACCAAAGGTCGTTGCATTCGGATGACGAACAGAGCCTTAGAATTTTGATTTTTAATAATAAAATACATTCATCATGGATAGTTAAAAATCATCTTTCACGTTTTAAGGCAATTAACTGTACTTTCATTTAGAGCAAAATATTGGATTTTATACAATTTTTGTTTTATTGAAAGACAATATCTCGAAGCTTCTTTTAGAGAATCATTTTTTATGCAAATATATTTCATGCGCTTAGAAAAACGCTCGTTTATCAGAAATAGTCTTGGATCATCGTCTTCTTTAGAACGTCTTATCTATCTTTTCCTTCTAATTAAACAGCGGTAAAACCGGTAGCTAGTCATCGAGATAACCCTATAACACGAATCTATCGGGGCATCAATGTTTCTGGAAGCATAAATTAAGTTGCTCGTCGCTACCCATTCACCCGACTGTTTCACGCGTCTTTTCACTCTTACTGCACACTCGTAATGAGGTTAAACTGTCGCGAGGAATCACACCAACGCAGTGATTCTCAACAGAAATCACAGAGTCGCGAAATGTTAGTCTGCGATTTCTATTAATTTCTTTTTAAAGGAATACACATCACGCAACCTTACAAAGTAGCCAAGTATACCCCTCCTCCATTTTCGAGAAAGAAATTTATAAAAATACGAAAATTACAGCGAATCATTATCAATGTTAATTTACTGGACATTAAGGCAATCAAATATTTCATTAGTCTAGTGATTCAATCCAAAACAATTTAAACATAACGAATCCTCGTAGTGTCCGCGCCTCCCATAGCCAACAATAAGGAGTCAAATAAGAACACGATACGTAGGGTACGGGATTG